TTCATTTGGGAAGAAAAGACACGAACATTCCCAGGTAAACAAAACCTGAAAGAATTTACCAGCACCAGACCGGATCTCCAAGAAGTTCTTAAGGGAGTGCTATGTCAGTAAAATTAAATGCAGACACACAGAAATAAGAGTTCAGAAACTAAGAAAATGGGCAACTTAATTGTAGGGACAAAGTCTGGAGTTGAGTATTATATCTCAGAGTTCAATCTGGAAGATCGAACCTCAACAGAAACAGAAGAAAATTAAGTACATGAGACTGAACTGATGAAACAGCATTCTATGACTTGACTAAAATATTGCTGCTTTTCTTCTAAGCTTTGTTGTCCGGTTTTAAGGATTTTTGTCCTGTCTTGAGCTGTCAATGGATTCATGTACCTACTAATTGAACAGAATACTAACCAGTTTCTAGGCCTTAAGTTTCAAGGAAATATCCTTACCAGTTCAAAACTGCTTTTCTTGAAACCATCAGCTGAACTTGCTATTGTAAGTAGTTAGATTACTTATGATATTGTGTGATCAACAAAATGTTGGGGGAAAAGGAATTGAAGATAACTGTAGACAGCAGAGATAGTGTAATAAGAGAGTGGAATAGGGCAGAGGATCAGACATGGGGTAAAAAAACATATATACATGAAAGTAGAAATGGAATATTATGGATGATAATATGCATGATTAAGGCACTATCCAGTTTATTCTAGATGGGAAACCACATTTTGTATGTTGTGATGATGCTCAGGAATGAATGTAAATCAATAAAAAAATTTTTTTCAGAAGAAAAAAAAAATAACTGATGGCAACTCTCATGTTACCAATGGGAAAACTAAACCACAAGAAGGTTAAACTAACCAGACTAAAGTTTCAAAGCCAGTTAAAATAACAGCTGAATAAATGAGAATGAGAAGCATGGCAGGCTGGCTTTTGTTTCGTATCCCCCCCCACCCCCCGGCCCAGGAGGATTTTTGCCTTAGGAAGCATGAGTTGCCAGAGAAAGAAAGAGACAGTGACAGTGAAAGGGAACGTGAGAAATCATTCCCTGGGAGAGATAGCCATGCCGCAATTCCTTCTCTTCCATTCTCCTCAGGATCCATCTCCATCCACCCATCCTCTATCTCCCGGGATCTTGGACACACTTGCACATGTGCCCAGCATAATTTTCAAGCCAATGGCTCCAGGACTTGAACCACAGTTGGCCATGTGGGAGTCCAGAGACATAATCACTATGTCATTTGCTGGTGAATTGGTGTTAATATGAAGGCAGATGAGAGTCATTTAGAGACTGAAGTCCTTCTGTTGCCATTCCTTCACCCCATGTGTATATGAGATAGCATAGGACTAAGCCTGGCCAATCACAGTTCTCCATGCTCAAATTTACAGATACTGGTACAAGTAAGGGGTGGGTTCTAGATCTAAGTGGATCCAGTCAGAGTCTCACCAAAATTAAATAGATGAAAGTCCCTGGGCCCAGCAGATGGCGTAATGGTTACATTGTTGGATTTGCAAATGGCTGACCCCAGTTCAAGGCCTGTACCCAGTGACTTAAAACTCACACCAAGTACATCTGTGTTCATGCCCAAGATCCTGAGAGAAGAATGGAGGAGAAGGGATTGTGGCATAGCCATCTCCCCAGGGGGTGATTTCTCACTTTCTGTCTCTCTGTCTTTTTCTGTATCTCTGGCAAGCACATGTGCCCCATAGGGGGAAAAAAAAAAAAAAAAAAAAAACCCCCCTTAAAAAAAAAAAAAAAAAAAAAAAAAACATGATCACTTATCATCTCAAAAGAATTGCAAGCCAGTCCTGTGGACCTTTATACTGAAAGAGTTAATATAGCTCTTAGACAATGCATGGGAGCATCACAGAGCATTGCGCCTCTTTTTCTATATATGAGAAAGCTTTACATTAAAACCAGCTTAAC